TGCTGTTTCAGGTCCATCCATGGCCATGCCAAAGGCTGTTCCTGGAAGGCCTCAAGGGGCAGCTACCTCCCCTCCCACAGACTGGGCACAGACCTTCATGCTCTGTGGCCTCTGAACGGAGCAGGTGTTAAGACCTCAGCCCCTGACCCTCAGGTGGCCATAATCTCATTCTCTAATTTCTGTCTTTTTCAGGGACTTCTCCTGGGACCCCCTTACAGGGGAGAGGATTAAGAAATCCTGGAGAAATGTTTTCCTCTCTGATTCAGTACCCATGGCTTTTCCACTCTGAGCCTCCCCTCTCTGACCCCTCCATCCCTGGGCCCATTAAACTATAGGAATCTTTGGCTGGGGCTCCCTCCACCCCCATGACCATTGTCTTAGTTACTTTTCTCATTGCTGAGACAAAATGCCTGATAGTCAAAGTTAAAGGAGGAAAGGTTTATTTGGATCACAGTTTGTTGAGGTTTTGGTCCATAGTGGCCTGCTCCAAGGCAGGATGGCACGGCAGAGGGACATCCAGAGGAGAGATAAGCAGCAGCAGCAGCAATCAGCAATGAGCAACAAGTGACCTTCCGTCCCTTGTATCTTATCCCACTCTACCATCCTTGATCCCAGCATCACACACCCTAGATCAAGCCACCTCTGAAAAGCCCCACCTGTGATCCCCTGAGGCTTCGGAAGCCACTAGGTGATACAAACTGTAGCAACCACAGTGATGCCATTCCACAAAGGAAAACAGGAAGGGTGGGGAAGCTGGCACTTTCTCTGTTTACTGTTACCTGGCTTCCTTCTCCCACCACAACCGCGCTCCTGCCCACAGCTTTCTCAGCCCACTTTACCCTCATACGCAGGGGCTTTGCTGTAGGGTCTTCTTTGTTTTTTTGTCTCATTGAGTTTATTGGTACATTTTAGGTATACAGTACAGTTACATTCATCATTGGGATCTTGTACCTTTACATGACAGGTCTTGGTTCTCATTTTTGCCCCTCGTCCCTGCCCTCCCTTCGTCCCTTCCTCCCCTCCCTATTTAAAACCACTTCATTTCCATTTTCTCCTATTTTTTTCTTTTCCCTTATTACCTTTCCCCGCACCTTTAGCCTGCTATGGAGTCTTCTAATGTGGCATGTTGCTGTGGAGAGGACTGAGGGAAGCACGAATTTTTTCCTTTGTGCATTTTCTTTTTTAGGGAGCAACTAAATATGAACCAGATAAGATGACTACAAAGTACAGCGCACACTCAAGCACACACACACACACACACACACACACCCCACTGATGGCTTGTCACCCCTCAGTTGGCCCGAACCCAGATGAGTAAAGTCAGCGTCTCATTGCCTTCCAGTACCCTGCCTTTGTCATTGGTCACTGTATCCTATTCTTAGGCAAAAATAAGTCTCTTTCACTGCTGAAGTGATACTCAGGCTTGTTATTAGCTCCACAATTCCAAGAAGGAAATAAGATCCAGTTGGGGTCAAAAACAGTTAACATTTTCAAATTACAGTGGGTTTATCTGTGCATAACCTCATTGTAAGTGGAAGACTATCCAACAAATACTTCATTTTCTACTTATGACTAGGACCAATTCCAAAGGCTTTAACTGTTTTGTTTGTTGTTTACTAGTTTTCACCAATTTCACTGGGAGCCCGGAAAAAGAAAAGTCAGAGGTGTGAGACAGAAGCAAAATGCTCTGGCTTTGAAGCTGTAGGAAGGGCCCTGAGCTGAGAGATGCAAGGAATGTGGGTCTAGAGGCAGGAGGGGATAAGTAACAGATTGTCCCCAGAGGCCCCAGAAGGAATTAGCCCAGCCCATATCTTGACTTTTCCCAGGTGAAACTGATCTGACACAATCCCATCTCTAGAAAAATAGAGAGCAACTTTGTACGGTTCTAAGTTTGTAAGCTTTCTGTAGCTTGTTAAAGCAGCAATAGGAAACGAACACGCCCCCTCCTGGGCTGCTGATCCGGAGGAATGGAGCTGGAAGCGACGGTTTGAAATAAGGGCACCGGGAAGATGAGGTCAGACAGAAGGAGCTCATTTCCGCGGGAGCTGGGGAGCCGGTGGGGTGGGAGCGCAGTTTCAATGAGGCTTAGAGTTCCATAGTAATAGGAAGCTTCAGTGGATTCCAGAGGCTTCTCTTGAAAGACCAGTTAAACTTCCTGGTATTTCAGGAATTTACATCTGAGTACGTGCAGACCTCAGCAGATTTTATTAGGGCCCGGGAGGATATCTAAAGTAGCCTCCACCTCAAGATCTTCCACTTGGTCTCACCTACGCAGTCCCTGCATCACCGGAGTGTGCAGCCCCGAGCCCCCGCGCCTCTGGGCGTTGGGATGTGTGAACCTGACTGACCAGCCCCAGGCCCAGGAGGCCTCAGGAGGATGCATCGTGCAGTGTCTGGGCCCTGGGCAGCCTGGCAGTGGACCCCAGCACTACCACTTCTGGGTTGTTGGCCCTTGGGAGAGGAACTAACTGTTTTGTGCCTGACTTGGCCTAAAAAACAAAAAAACACTTCTGAATGATTTTAAATAAGTCAGCCCTGAGACCCACAAGCCCGAGGCCCCAAGCTCAGCTTCCAGAGGGGAAGTCTCCTCTCCTCTCCTTTGGCTGAAGCTCCTTAGACACTATTGTGAGGCATTAAGCCCTCAGTTTAAACCGAAGCTCAGCTGAAACCAAGACAAAAAGAGGAACCTTATAACCTCCTGCCACCCTTGGGCCAGGCAGCCAGAAGGTAGGCAGGTGGAGAAGAGGGTGTAGTTTTGGAATGCCAATCAGGCCCCGGGCCAGGGCAGCCCACCAACTTCTGTCATCTTCTCTCTCCTTAATTTATTTTTTTGTTTTGTTTTTCCTGGTACCGAGGATTGGACTCAGGACCTTGTGCTTGCAAGGCAGGCAGTGACGCTACTGAGCTACATCCCAGGCCCTCAATTTATTTTTTTAAAGCAAAAAAAAAATGTAAAGAAAGGATCTCATTAAGTTGCTAAGACAGGCTGGCAATCCTCCTTGATTTAGTCTCCTAGGGTGCTGGGATTATTAAGTGTATTCCACCATGCCACCTTCAGTATGCAAAAGATTCAAACCTTCAGAAAAAGCTGCATGAGTGGTACAGTGCCATCTGTGTGAACTTCATCTGCATTTACTGCTCACGTTCAATTGAGTTCATGATTTTAATTTATTGTCCATATCTATATCAACAGAGAAATGAGTATAACATGGACGTGTTCTATCCACTTGTTTTAAAAAACTCATTTCTTTTTTCTTTCCCTTTTTTTTTTGGTACCAGGGATCAAACTTGGGTCTTTGTGCTTGTGAGGTAGGCGGCAGAACCACTGAGCTAAATCCCTGGCCCCCTCCCCCCCTTTTTTTTTAGCACAGGGATCGAACTCTGGACCTTGCAAGGCAGGCTGCAGAATCACTGAGCTAAATCCCTGGCCTCTGGCCTGGAACTCTTCAAGATCTTCCTGTCTTGGCCTCCTGAGTGCTAGGATTATAGGCATGTGCCCAGCTTCATCTTTTTTTTTCTTTCTTTCTTTCTTTTTTGTTTTTTATTTTTCTTTTGTGTAGTTCATTTTGGCTGTGAACTCACTATACAGCTCAGGCTGCCTCAAACTCAAGGCAATCCTCCTTCCTCAGCCTCCCAAGTGCTGGGACTGCAGGTAGGTACCTCATTGCCTGGCTCTAAGTACTCATTTCTTTCATGTGTGGGATGTTTTTCCCTCCCAGCTCTATCTGCAGGGGAGGAGGGATGGGCCTAGCAGCAATGATGCCTTAACAGTAACAAACACCTACACCCAGACTGGCTTTCTCAATCCCTGTCCTCCACTGCAAATCCTTACTTCCATCTCATTGAAGAGACCGCTGGGTCCAGGCTGGGCAGGAAGCACTCAAGACAAGCCTGGAACATCCTCTGAGCCAGGAAGTTAGGATATGCTCAGGCAGTGGTGGGGACAAGGAGCCAGTGTGGAGGGGCTCCTGCTGCCCAATCGGGACAATGTGAGCATCATAATACATAATCAGATGATGGGCTGTTGTCCACTGGTGAGAATATGAAACCACGAGTCTGTGTTGACATACATAAAGGAAGAAAAACATCTTTACAGAAAAAACCTGGCTCACACAGACCCGGCTAGTTCCCACTCCCGCGGCAGGGTGCTTCCTGCCGTCCTTCCTTGCTGGTGTCCCCTTCCTTCCCTGGGGGAACGCTGTCTCCAAACAGCATCATTATATCGATCTATTTATACTTTCTCCTACAACGTTCGGGAAATAATTTTGGAGTTGATGTTTGCTCCGGTGCAGACCCGTGAAGGAAATGCCACTGTGTATTTGCAGTTCTTTTGGGCCTTAGGATATACATAGCAGAGGTGGTGGCCAGCATTTGAAGCACAAGGGGAACTTTCTGAGATAGATTTTGATGGATGGATAGGAGTTTCCCAGGAGAAGAAGGAGGAAAAGAGCACCAAGCAGGGGGAAGCATGTGCAGAAAGCCTGGAGTGTGAAATGAAGGATGAGTGTGGAAACTATGGCGGGGATCTGGGGGTGGCTGCAAGGGCCTGGAATGCCACTCAGGGAGCTTGGGACTAATGTAGCAGGCACCAGAGGAATCAGCATTCAGAAAGTATGGATGCGGTGGTGCGCGCCATAATTCTAGCACTCTGGAGGCTGTGGCAGGAGGATGGACTGAGAGTTTGAGGCCAGATTGGACTATATAGCAGGACCCTGTCTCAAAAAACCAAACCACACCAAACAAAAAACCAAAAAACAAAGTAGAGGGCACAAGATGCAGTGCCTGGGCTGGCAGGGTGGCTTTGCAGCATTTCATCTCAGTTTTATTATCTGTAACGTGGGTAGGAGGGGCCCCACTCCAGGCTGCAGGGAGAGTCCCTGGGGCTGTACCTGGCTGATGGAGTCTGGGGCTGGGGGCACGCAGCCCGCGAGCCCTTCCTGCTCTGTGACATGTACCTACTTCCTGTTTCTTGCCATCAAGGGTAGTTTCAGTCTCAGCCTCAAAAGAACAAACACACTCAAAACAAAGGAAGCCGGTGCTGCGTGCAAAGGAAGCAGGAAGCCGCCAGCCCTGGGCCCTGGACTGAGCCCAGCTGCCGGAGCTTGGGGACAGCGCTGGGGACAGCGGGATGGAGTCCGTGGCCCTGTACAGCTTCCAGGCCACAGAGAGCGATGAGCTGGCCTTCAACAAGGGCGACACACTCAAGGTACAGTGGACTGGACTGGGCCAGCTGGGCTGGCCCCACACGGGCGGGTTAAGAGCTGGCCAGGACGGTCCCTGCAGTGTCTCCCGCCATCAGCTGTGTGATCGTGGATGTGCCCACCGCTCTCTCTGATCCTCAGTTTCCTCATCTGGGAAAGGAGGAGAGAACCAGTGAGCCCTCCTTTGGGGACTGTTGTGAGGATTGAAGAAGCCATCACAACACCTAACGGGGGTTGGTTCAACCCCCAGATTTCCCTGAAGATATTTGGAAAAGGCAATTTTTGAGAGGCGGGGGGCCTGGAGAAGGAGTTGGGAGAATGAGACAGTACCTGTATGGCATGAGTGCAGGTCTTAGGGAAGATGTAAGAACACGTGCTAATAGGGTTTAAATAGCTGTGACTGCAGGATCAAGGATGAGCTTCCCCGCAGTGTGGAGAAAAGGGGAGATAGAGTCACATGCAACTCCTTTTGCTCTGTCTGGACCTTTATGATGCACATGGCAGCCTTCCTGGACAGCCTGACAAGTGGGTCTGTGGGTTTCCCCTCTGGACATCTCCCTGCTTATACATTTGTATCCAACAGCATAGTCCAGGTGTTAGGAGAGGCCACGCCAAGCCTTGGGCACCGGAGGGGTCACTGTCTCACCTACTCAAGCCCCTCACTGCCCTTCCCTGGGCACACTCTTCCCAAGGAGCAGCAGCTGTCACACTGGATGTCCCTCTTCTGAGCCCTGGGCTTTGCTCTTGGCCTCAAGCTTGATGCACAAAAAGGGGCAGGAGCCTCCCTTTGGTGCCACCCTGCTATAGCTGGGTGCCTAATTCAGGAGGGCAACAATACCGGCTTTGAGCAACAGGGCTGTGGGGCATCAGAGCCGTCATTTCGCTAAGCTGGGACACATAACAGGGAGGCGACACATCCTGCTTGGTATGGGATCGGACTTGAACCTAAGTCTCTTTGACTCTGCGGCCTCTGTGCAGTTCGCTGTGAGACTCCAAATGAGCCTAGGCTAAGATTTGGCATTGGGGTGAGGAGAAGCCTGATGCCCAGAGAAATCCCCTCTTCATCCCAGGGGCTGCCTCCCCACCCCCACCCCCAGCTTCTGGTCCCAAGGCCCCTGCACATGTGACATCTGGTTCGGGCACAGGCTGAGCACTGGGGCTGAGTGCCCAGGTCCTGAAACTTGGAGGACCTCAGCTACTTTCCCGAGAGCAGTTTGGGGTTTCCAGACGCAGGTTTGGGAGCAGGGAGGGAGTGGTACAGTGAGGAGATGGCAATGGGGTGACATGGAACTCTGAGCCAGGCTTGGAGAGGATGGGGCAGACCAGTGGGTCCCCTGAGGCAATCATTGAAACACTGTGGCATCCCCTCTTCACTCCTGGACTCCTGTGCCTCGAATTGCACCCCAAGATGAGTCAAATTTCCCACCAGAGGGCCACCCATCAGGGGCAGTGGGAGTTGCATCTAACCAAGGTGCTGGCTGCTCAGGAGAGAGTGAGCTTGTGACCCTCCTGCCCCAGATCATAAGCACCTGGAGGGAGGAATGCAGCAGGGCACACAACAGCACCCGTGCACAGGAAGGACTCAGTAAGGCATGAGGAGTGCAGGAGGAAGGAGGGCAGGCAGGGTCTCAGGGACCTCTGCATCTGTACCCTTGGGGACCAAGGTGGTAGGGAGTACAGTAGAGGAATGAAAAGCCGGCTTCATGTGAGCAGCCCTAAAATGTCAGCTACTGTGTCAGGGTATGTATTCAGTGATCACATGAAATGTAGCACATCCATGGTGGGAGCAAGGAGGGGGCTGCTTTAGTGGGCAGCCAAGGCAGTTTCTCAACAGAGATGACCCCTCAGCTACAGCTACAGGAAAACTAAGAACTGACCATGTGAAGAATCCAGGGAGGACAGCACCTGCCTGGGAAACAGCTGATGCAAAGGCCCAGAGGTAGCACTATAGTAATATGTTTGAAGAGTTGAAAAAAATGTCTTTGGCTAGACACTGGTGAGTGCAATGGAGGGGGCAAAATTGCAGTGGGAAAGGTGACCAGGAGTCAGGGCCTATTGTAGTCACTCAGTGAGAAATGAAGGTAGTGTAGATTAAGAAAAAATTCCTGGCAAAAATCACAGCACAGCCGGGTGTGAAGGCAGCCGCCTGTGATCCCAGCATTCAGGAGGCTGAGGCAGTTGGATCACTGTAAGTTTATGGCTAGCTTGAGCTACACAGTGAGTTCAAGCCCAGCCTGAACAACACAGTGAGACCTTGTGTCAAAAAACCAAAAAAATCACAAAGTATTAATATCCTTGATATGTAAAGAGCTTACATATCAAGTATCTCCAAGGTTATTGAGAGTGTGGGTGGTGACACTATCATTTTCAGGGGCATCTGGGAAATATATAAGAACCTTAAAAATATTGGCTGGATGGGATGACACATGTTTATAGTCCCAGCTATTTGGGAGGCTGAGGCAGGAGGATCACTTGAGCCTAGGGGTTTAGGGCCAGCCTGGGGAGCATAGTGAGATGCTCATCTCAAAAATAATACTATGTCCTTTGGCTCTGAATCCCCCTCTGGAATTCAAATGTAATCAGAGACGGATGTGTGTTCTTGCATTACTAAAATCCAGGGTGACTTTGCCATGCCCAGGTCCCATTCTAGAGCCACCAGCCAATTATTAGGGGGGAAAACAGAAGCAGCTGCGGCTGTTAGGGAGCTGACTTCCAGTGGCAGATGTGAAGCACGAGTGAGACAGAAATAAAGCCCAGAGCTTGCTGGGTGCTGACAGCGCTGTGGGAGAAGCTGATGAGGGTTTACCTTGTCTGCTCGACATGGATTAAGTAATGCGATAAAATATTAGCTACAAAATGCCGGTTGGGAAGGTGTTTAATGACGTCAAAATGCCCACTGTGACACACAGAGTGGAAAAGAGCAGAGTGTGAACCCAGACATACAGTTGGAAGCAGATTGTTGTAAGTTACTCGTTTTGGGGAAGGCGACTGATATTGAGGTCTGGGACTTGTGCTTGGAAGGGTGATAAGAAAGAATTCTCCTGCTGTGCTGATGATCGTGGTTCCAGGAGTGGCCTGACCCATTTGTGTTTTCTTTGTTGCTCTCTTTCTTCCTCAGATGTTCTGCAATGAGCTGGTGCAAATGGCCCTTCCTATCCACAAGTTCGCTATTACAAGTAATGCAGAGATAGTTTCAGTGCATGGGAAGGCAAGCAGAGGTTGTGTCCAAATACTACACCACATGCTATAAGAGACTTGAGGATCTGTACATTTTTTTGTTTTTTGAGACAGGGTCTTGCTATGTAGTTCAAGTTGGCTTTGAACTCACTATGTAGCCCGAGCTGGTCTGAAATGAGTGGCAATCCTCCTGCCTCAGCCTCCTGAGTGCTGGGATTACAGGCATGTGCCACCATTCTTGGTTGAGAGTCTGTAACAAATTTTGGAACCCCGGGGCATGGAGAACAGTGTTTTTGAATCACTCCTCCCCAGATATCAAGAGATGACAGAATTGCCTGCCAGGCCAGGATGAGAGTAACGAGTAAGACCCCCACTGCAGGATTGCCCAAGCACAAGGTCAAATTCTGATTTATTTAAAATTTAAAAAATACATTACATGGTTTCTTTTATATGAGAAACCCAAAGTACAAATAATTTAAAGAGCAAAATAAAAAAAACAAATGATAGGAGGCCGGGCATGGTGGCGCACACCTGTAAACCCAGCACTTGGGAGGCTGAGGCAGGAGGATCGCTGTGAGTTCGAGACCAGCCTGGGCTACATAGTGAATTCCAGGTCAGTCTCAACTACCTAGTGAGACCCTGTCTCAAAAAACAAAACAAAACAAAACAAAAAAACAAAAACAAATGATAGGAAACAGGGAGATGATCTCTTGCAGATGGGAAGGGGAGGGAGGTACTGTAAGATTTTTTTGTTTGTTTTGCAGTGCTGTAGATGGAACCCAGGGACTTGGGCATGCTAGGCAAGTTCTGTACCATGGCACTGAAGCCCCAGTCCTTTATTTAAGATTTTGGCAAAAATTTCATATTAATTTTTTTAAATACACTTGATTTCTTCAGCCCGGTTTGGTGGCCCAGTTCTGTCAAGCCACAGTCTGAGAGGCTGAGGTAGAAGGATTGCAAGTTCAAGCCCAGCCTGGGCAATTTAGCCTGTTAGCGAGACCATGTTTCAAAATTTGAAGAAAAGGACCGAGGATACAGCGCAGTGTGAAGGCCCTGGGTTCATCCCCCAGTGCGAACAAAACAAAGCAAAGCAAAGCACAACAAAACAAAACACAACTCACTTGAATTTTCAGAAGAGCTTTAGATTTACCAAAGCACCAGAAAGTCAGCAAAGCACGACTCGGGTGGTTCATCTGTTAATAGTAGCAATAGGAGGCTGTTAAATGACATTCGCATTTGAGTTTTATATTCATTTTGATTTTTTAACCATTACATTAAAATAGCATCTATCTTGATTCCTGAGCTTTTGGCATCCCTTTTGATTTTACTTCAATGGTGTCTCACCTGCCTCCTTTAGTCTGCTAGGTGCTTTATTTTCTTTTTCTTCATCTCCCTCTCCCTCTGCCTCTCCCTCTCCCTCTCCCTGTACCTCTCCCTCTCTGTCTTCCTCTCCTTCTCCTTCTTCTCCTCCCCCTTCTTCTTCATTCCTTTACTAGTACCAGGAATTGGACTCAGGACCTTTCTCTTGCCAGGCGGTCACGGCACCCCTGAGCTACATCCCCGGCCCTGCCACCTGCTTTCTCTAACTAATAATGCTGACCGTCTTGTGCTGTGGTCCCACCTCCTTCCTGGCAGGGCCACTGTCCACGGCTGGTGTCCTGCCCTTATCCTGCTCAGCTCCCCACACCCCCGTGGGCCTGGCCCTTGCCCTCTGGCCAAATTTTCCCCAACTCAGCACACTATTGGTATCCCTTCTCTGGTCCAGGCCTCCACCATTGCTCCATTGGGCCAGTATAGGAGTCCCTGGTGCCTCTCGTCCCTCTGCCCCACAGGGTCTCTGGCAGCAGCCAAGACCCTGCCCCTCCAGAGCCTGCCCCTCTCCTCAGCTCCAGGCACGCTGGCCTCCTTTTTGTTCTGGGGCCAGAGCTTGCTCCCACCTCAGGACTCCACACAGGCTGTTTCCTCTGCCTTGCACAAAGTTCCTCGCATCTACTGCTTTCTTTTTGTAATTCGGGGCTCAGCACATGTCACCTCCCCAGAGAAGCCTTTCTGACTGCTCCCTCTGCCCCTGCCCCCACAGAGTCATCCTCCACATGCGTCATCTTTACGTGTTTTTTAGACATAAACTTGCTCTAATATAAACTCTCTTGTTTACTTGTTTCTTTCCTTGTTTATGTCTGTCTCTGTCCCTAGGGATGTAAGCTCCATGTTCCTCTGTGACCCTGGAGCTTACCCAGGCCTGGCGTACGGTAGGTGGCTACAAGCTGCAGCTGGCAGGAACAGGGAGAAGAAGTACAGTACCTGGGGTGGGAGGCTTAGGCAGGCCAGGAAGCTGGTCTCTGGTTTGTGGACTTTCCAGGTATCTGGGGCTTTGGGAAGCTAACAACAGTGAGATTCAGCTAATGTGACCATGAGGACGTTTCTCGGTCCTCCTAGCAGAAAAGCCAGGAGGCCTGACAACAGAACCAGGGATTGAAGCAGGCACATCAGAGTGAAGCAGGCACATCATGGGTGTGGACATGGACACACCCATGTCCACCCGAGATGCTGTAGCCCGCAGGGCACCGCCTCGTTCAGTGGTCATAAACGTTCCCACTGAGTGGCTGAAGAAACAGAGGCCAAGGGCCACAGGGAGTCAGGAGCAGACTGAGCAGTCTAGAGGAATCTGTGGCTGTGGCAGGCGGCCCATAGGCCCTAATTTCCTCATTCAGTTGGGTGAATTGGTTTCATTTTGAGTGAAAATTTTTCTGAGCTGGCCACCTGCTTCTGTCTGTCTCTGGCGCAGCTGACCTTGCTTGGTCTCAGGAACAGGAAGGAGGGGCTCTACCTGGCCTGATAGACAGACAAGGGGTGCTACTCGGGGAGGCCCAGGCCTAGGCCAGTGAGGCCCATCCTTGCCTGAGTTTGTGCCTTACGTGGGCCTGACTGGTGCCCACCGTTCTCTGTGCCCAGCATTTTCCATTAATAAATCTCCCCCAGGAGTGAGCCGATGTGGTAGTCTGCTCCAGGACTGATGGAGTAGCGTGAAAACGGCGGGCCAAGGCGCCCTTAGGCCACAGCGCCCTACATCCCACAGCTCCGAATCCTGGCCAACCACAGGGGTTCTGCCTCTCCCCCACTGGGTGGCTTTGGCTATGATACTTCCTCTGTGTGGCTCATCTGAGAAATAGCATGGCGATGTCGACCTTGCAGGGTTCTACGGGAATTAGAGTGACACATAGAAAGTGTGTCCAGGAAATGGAGGAAGGAGCCTCCCTGGCCCACCACTGAGCCTACCCGTGGGGTGACGGGGCCTCATGGGCCTGGAAGATGTGCCTGAGCAGCCTGAGATCCAGCCCATGGACCTCAGTGCTGACCCGCCCTCCACCACTGTCACCCCTGGGCTCAGACCTGTAAGGATGTTTTAAATGTGAGTAACCTTGGGTGCTACTGGTCGCTGAGCTCAGGCTGAGGTCCCTGATCTCCCTGGTGATCCTCAGGCTCAGGTCATGGCAGGCAGGTATTGTGGGACCCCTCACGCTCCGTGCACAGCTCAGGCCCAGATCTGCTCCCAGAGACCCCAGCCTCAGCTGCCCCAATTCTTCAACCCCAAACCTCCTCTGGGTCCCCAGCTGTCCTATCCAGGAGGCCGTGGCCCTCTTGGTGGGTGTCCTTGGGCCAGGCGCAGGCGGGACTGTGGAATCAAACAATAGCTCTTACTTGGCCCATGGGGCCTTTGGCAGATCCCCAGCCCAGGGCCCTGGCCTCCTCTGTGAATGGGCTCAGGAGCTGGTGCGGGTGAAACTCACCTGGGCCCAGCAGGTGGCAGAGCCTCTGCAGGTGACAACTGTTCCTTCTTGGTGACCCACAGATCCTGAACATGGAGGACGATCAGAACTGGTACAAGGCTGAGCTCCGAGGAGCCGAGGGCTTTGTCCCCAAGAACTATATCCGTGTCAAGCCCCACCCGTGAGTATCACTCCGGAGGTCGTGTCCCCGCTGGCTGGGCCAGGTTGAGTCAAACATGAGCTCCCTGGGGGCTGGACATTGGACAGGACACTGGGTGGTGTGGGAGTCGTGTCTGGGGTCCCAGTGTCCTGAAGCCTGGGATCTGCTGGACCTGAGAAGTTCGGGTGAGGTTCTTAGCAAGGCATCTGCCACAGTGACCCTCAGAATGACAATGCAGGGCCAGCCCAACACAGGCCTGGGTGGCTAAGAAAGCAATGAAACTAACTGGAGATGCTTTAAATAACAGCTGAGCCACCGCCTCGGCACCTGCCAAACCCTGGCCGTGGCTCAGGGGCCCAGCAAGGGCGATATGGGGACATTAGAGGGGTCAGAAGAGTCCTGTTCTATGATAGATACAGGACATAAAGAAAATGCTACATGGGAAGACAGTCAGCATCGAGGTGACTGATCAGGGGAGGCTTCTCAGAAGACGTGGCTTCTCAGAAGTGAGGGCTTGAGGGATGTGTGTGAGTTGGCTAAAACATCTTTCCTAGGAGAGGGTCAAGATGAGCCAAGGGAGAGCAATGAGGGAGAGCCTGAACTTTTGGGGCAGACACAAGGCCTGAAGTTTCAGGTTCAGGGTACTGGGCAGCCCCAGAGGTGTTACTCAGTCAGATGTGCAGGAAGGTGATAAGCACCACAACTTGGAGCCTTGACGCTGTGTGGCTGTGGGTTGAAAGGAAGGAGGTGTAGGGCTTGGGTGAGGCTCAGAGGGTATTTCCTCTTTATTTTTCTTTGAATTTCGTGCAAACCTGCTTCCTGTGGTAGACATGGCTGGTCTCCCAGGGCCCCAGCCCCTCTGCTGGACTCTAGCCATTCCAGCCATCTCCACAGGACCTCAGCCTCCAGTCAGGGGGAGGGAAGGGGCGCATCACGGGGGAGCAAGGTGGGGAGAATCCAGTCCGGACCGTGAGGCAGGCCAGGGACCCGAGGCAGTGCTGGGCACATCTGGAAGGCTGAGAACAGTAGAGAGCGATGCCCATGGACTGGGCAGCGGGAGCCTTCCGTGAAGGAGCTGGTCTGGTGGGGTGGGAAGCCTGTGAGGCCCAGCTGCAGAGGAGCCCAGAGCACAGTCTGCACTTGCTGGGCTGGCTGGAATTAGCCTGGCCTAGCAAGAGTCTTGAAGGGTGCTTGGGAGCCATGGAGGTCTGCAGCCTCCAGTGCCTCTGGGATCATGGGGACATGACCCATTGCATGAGACCTTGCCCAGGTGCTAGCCCAGCTTGGTCACCTCAGCACCTCCACTGTCCCCAATTATCCTGGGGGAACTCCAGCTCTGCACCTGACAGCCCCAGGGGGCGGAGTGGGGGTGGGGCGGGGCTGGCACCAGGCTGACTCCTTCTCTGAGCACCCACTTGTAACCCTGCCTGTCCCCAGGCCCCATAGGGCCCATAGGGAGGAAGCACCTGACCCAACTGAATGGCCAGGGGACTGGGCACAGGGAGGGCTTCCCTAGGAAGAGCGTGGCCCCTGGGCCTGGAAGCTGGAGAAGTTCTCCAGGGACAGGTGTGGGGAGGAGGGGGGTAAACCACTCATCACAGCAGTAGCAACAAACATTTGCAGGCAGCAGCTCATCCAGTCTCCAGGGGCCTGCAAGGTGAGCACTACGGGCCCTGTGTCGCACACCGGTCGACAAGGGCACACAGAGGTTGGGTGACATGTCCACAGTCACCCTGGGCAAGAGGCAGAGCGGCACTGCTGGTGGATCACATGGGCCTCGGGGAAGCATGAAGGAGCAGCTGCAGGGCTGGGGGACGGAGGCAAGGCGTGGACTTGCTCTGCAGCCTCTCAAGAGCCTCGCCCTGCCTGGGCCTCAGTTTCCACATCAGGGAGGGAGGACACGCGAGGCGGTGAATGACAGAGTGGGGCTGGGGTGGAGGTTCCTGAGGGGAGGAGAGTGCTTTCCACCCCACCCTCCAAGCCTCCACGGCGGAGGGGCAGGACTGGTGGGGAGGTGTGTGGCGGTGCCACCCTCTGCTGCCCACACTGACGTTTCCTCTGGGGTTTTGTGGCTTCTTCAGAGGCCCCTGGCCCCTCAGGAAGCTCCCATCCCGGGCCCCACAGCAGTGGGGCGGAGCCAGCAGTAGCTCCTTCTCTGGTCTGGACCTGGGTCCTCTAGTTTTTACTGCGCTGGGCCATCAGCGGCCTGAGCCTCTGGCCCGGGACTTGCCCGGGTTGAGGGAGGCAGACATGTTCTCTGGGGTCCCCAAGCTCCACGGAAGCCTGGCTGAGTCCCCACCCTCAGTGGCCACCTTCCCTGTCTTGCAGGGGACACCACCATGAGGGGGATGGGGCTCTACCAGCCAGGGGAGGACAATGACCTGGAAGCTCATATCTGGGGGTGTGGGGCCCCCAGAAGCAATCCCTGAGACACGCAAGAGTGCAGACAGGGAGGAGTCAGGAGAGTCAGGCTCTGGAGGTCATCGCTGCTGGGGCAGCTGGCGCTCTATCTGGCCAAGGGACAACACAGGACGTGCACCTGTGGGTCTCTCCTGCTCTGTAGGGAGCGGGGGAATCTCTTTCCTATTCCGCAGCCTGCCCCGCACACAGACCAAAGCCCAGGGGAGTTTGTGCGAGCAACCTTATCAGGTGGCTTTGAGAGCAGGGACAGGGGCCAGACCCCAGCACATCTGCCTCTCACTGTGGAGGCCTCATCAGCATCCGAGACAACAGGAGAGGACCCACCCGACACTGCAGCCTGTGCCACACTCGGGAAGCACTGACTAGAGGAGGTCAGAGAAACAGAACAGGGGCAGAGGCCCCAGGTCCTGCCCTTGGCCCTATCATAGTCTCATCATGACTCTTCAAGTTGCTGTGGGTCAACACAGGTGTCAAAGCCACAGCTGGGCAGATTCTGGAGCCAGGAAGCCCCCAGCGGTGGGCGTTGGTAAGAGAAGACCATAGGCTGAGAGGCTCACAACAGCACATGTTCACTGAGCACAGTTCTGGAGCCTGGACGGCCAAGGTCAAGGCACAGGCAGATGCAGTAATTTGTGAGGGGCACTTCCTGCTTCATACACAGCCACCTTTTAGCTGTGTCCTCTTATCTGAAGGGGAGAAAGAGCTCTCTGAGGTCTTTTCTGTAAGGATACTGTGTTAGTGCATGTTCTGTTGCTACAACAAAACACCCGAGACTGGATGATTTACAAAAGATAGAGTCTTACTTGGTTCAGCATGGAGGCTGGACGCTGAAGAGTGTAGTAATGGTGGTGGCTTGGTATCTGGCGTAGGCCTTCTTGCTGTACCACATGGTGAGCCAGGACTGAGCAAGAGTGCTTGCTTCTACAGCAACGCTATTCCCTCTATAACCCTTTGAATTGCTAACTCATAAATGAATCCACCCATGCATGAGGTCAGATCCTTTATGACCCATCACCTCCCAAAGGTTTCATTTCTTAACACGGCTGCTTTGGGGACCAAGTTTTCAACACATGAACTTTTGGGGGACACCTTCAAACCATGACCATTCCTGATCCCATTTGTGAGGCTTCTCACTCAACTCCCAAAGGCCCTACCTCTAAATCAAGGATGGGGGTTGGAATGCAAGCAGTTCTAACAGTAGGTGGGCGAGGGCCCGAGGCCAGGGCCAGACACAGACATGGGGTCCAGCTTTCCCTGGAGATCGCACCAAGGTATAAGCATCTAGTAGGCACCTTCTGTATACTTGTTTGGTCATCAGGGAAAAGAATTTGTGCCTATAAAAAAGTCCAGGTGGCCTGAGTCTGCACAACAGTGGAATTGGTACAAGGAAAGAACTTTCCTCACTAGATTGAGGCCACTATTGTTTTATATTTATTCATTTATTTATCTGCAGATTGAGCTCAGTACCTCAAGCACTGTCGGCAAATGCTGTATCCCAGCCCTGTTTTATGTTTTTTTGATTTTTAAGAATCTACCACAGGCTGGGTACAGTGGCTCATGCCTGAAATCCTAGCCCTTGGGAAGCTGAGGCAGGAGGATTACTACAAGTTTGGGGCCAGCCTGAGAGTACATACTGAGCTCAAGGCCAGACTAGAATACATAGTGATGCCCTGTCTAAAAAAAAAAAAAAAAAAAAAAAAAAACTCTTTTT